TTATGCTAGGTATTGAAAATTTTCGTAAATGAGACGGGTATTTTGAATATGAAAAGAGCGGGTAGGAAGATGGAGTAAGTATAAGGGTGATTCTGCAATTTTCAGAACTGTTTGAGCCAGGGAGGTGGATTTTCAGAAATTACAAATTGACCTCCACTTGGGGGCATTTCCGGTTTAAGGACCAAAATTAAAAATTGTATATAACATGGGGACAAAAACCGTAATTATCACAAGTTTATTATAAATTATATAATGAATTAAAGTTTTCCTAAATCGTCAAATTTGATCCATTTGCTGATATTTAAGACTTATTTTAACTTTTGAATCGACTTAGGCATGAATGAATTGAATCAAGTTTTGAATCGTAAATCATTTGATTTTATACTCGGTATTGCGAATTTTCGTAAACGAGTCACACACGATTGTAACTGAGGAGGAGTCAATGCATACTGCGTTGGTGACATATATTTCGAATATTGCAAGAGAGATCTAATTTGGGGACAAATTTGCAATTTGGGTAGTGCGACTGGGAAGATGGAGTAAGTATAGGGGTAATTCTGCAATTTTCAAACTGTTCCAGTCAGGGAGATGGATTTCCAGAAATCACAGATTGACCCCCACTTGGGGGCATTTCCGGTTTAAGGACTAAATAGAAAAATGCTGTATTATTAAATTAAAAATGGTATATAATATAGAAAAAAAAACTGTAATTATCACAAGTTTATTATAAATAATATAATAAATTAAAGTTTCCTAAATCGTAAATCGTAAAATTTGTTGATATTTAAGATTTATTTTAACTTTTGAATCGACTTAGGTATGAATGAATTGAATCGTAAGATTTGAATCGTAAATCATAAGATTTTAAACTCGGTATTGCGAATTTTCGTAAATGAGTCACACACGATTATAGCTGAGGAGTCGAAGCATACTGCGTTGGTGGCGGATGTTTCAAATATTGCAAGAGAGATCCACTTTGGAGTTAAATTTGCAATTTGGGTAGCGCGGCTGGGAAGATGGAGTAAGTATAGAGGTGATTATGCAATTTTCAAAACTTTGTCGGACGGGGAGGTGGATTTGTTTTCTTAAATATCAACAAATCGATCAAATTTTACGATTAACGATTTAGGAAAACTTTAAGTTATTATATTATTTATGATAAACTTGTGATAATAAATGTGGCGGATATTTTGGATATTTAAAGAGAGATCCACTTTGGGGTCAAATTTGCAATTTGGGTTAGGGACCAAAATAGTAATTATATCGCGTTAATTATAAATAATATAATAAATTATTCGTTTCTTAAATCGTAAATCGTAAAATTTGATCGTTTTGTCGATATTTAAGATTTATTTTAACATTTGAATCGACTTAGGCATGAATAATTGATTCGTAAGAATTGAATCGTGAATCATAAGATTTTAAACTCGGTTTTGCGAATTTTCGTAAATGAGTGACACGCGATTATAGTTGAGGAGTCGAAGCATACTGCGTTGGAGGCGGATATTTCGGATATTGCAAGAGAGATCCACTTTGGTGTTAAATTTGCTATTTGGGTGGAACGACTAGGAAGATGGAGTAAGTATATATAACGGTGATTCTACAATTTTCAAAACTGATTCAGTCAAGGAAGTGGATTTCCAGAAATTACAAATTGACCCCCACTTGGGGTACATTTCTTGTTTAAGGACCAAATTAAAAAAAATGTATGTAATATATGGACCAAAAATCGTAAAATTTGATCCATTAGTTTATATTTAAGATTTATTTTAACATTTGAATCGACATAGATAAGAATGAATTGAATCGTAAGATTTGAATCGTAAATCATAAGATTGTATGCTCGTTATTGCGAATTTTCGTAAATGTGGCGGATATTTTGGATAGTGAGAGAGAGATCCACTTTTTAGGGTCAAATTTGCAATTTGGGTGGATCATTTAGGTAGATAGAGTAAGTATAGGGTTGATTGTGCAATCTTCACAACTATTTCAACAAGGGAGGTGGATTTTCGGAAATTACAAATTGACCTCCACTTGGGGGCACTTCCGGTTGAAAGACCAAAATTAAAATTCATCTATAATATATGAACCAAATCTGTAATTATCGCAATTTTATTATAAATAATATAATAAATTAAAGTTGTCTTCAATTGTAAATTGTACAATTTGATCGTCTTGTTGACAATTAAGATTTATTTTAACTTTTGAATCGACTTAGGTATAAACGGATTGAATCATAAGATTTGAATCGTAAACCATAAGATTCTAAACTCGGTAATGCGAATTTTCGCCAATGATATAAATAATATAATAAACTAAAGTTTTCTTAAATCGTAAATTGTAAAATTTGATTGTTTTGTTGATATTTAATATTTATTCTAACATTTGAATCGACTTAGGTATGAAGGAATTGAACCTTAAATCATAAGATTTTAAACTTGGTATTGCAAATTTTCATAAATGAGTCACACGCGATTATAGATGAGGAGGAGTCAAAGCATACTGCGTTGGTGTCGGATATTTCGGATATTGCAAGAGAGATCCACATTGGGGTTAAAATTTGCAATTTTGGGTGGAGCTGGTGGGAAGATGGAGCAAGTATACAGGTGATTCTGCAATTTTCAAAACTGTTTAAGTCGGCAAGGTGGATTTCCAGAAATTACGAATTGACCCCCACTAGGGTGCATTTCTGGTTTAAGGAACAAAATAACAAAAAAACAAAGTATAATAAAATAAGGATCAAAAATCGTAAAATTTGACCGATTAATTGATATAGAAGATTTATTTTAACATTTCAATCGACACAGATATGACTGAATTAAATCGTAAGATTTGAATCGTAAATCATAAGATTTTGTGCTCGATATTGCTAATTTTCGTAATTGTGGCGGATATTTTGGATAATGAAAGAGAGATCCACTTTGCGGTCAAATTTGCAATTTGGGTGGAACGGCTAGGAAGATGGAGTAAGTATAGGGGTGCTTCTGTAATTTTCAGAACTGTTTCAGCCAAAGAGGTGGATTTTCGGAAATTACAAATTGAGCTCCACTTGGGGGCATTTCCGATTTAAGGACCGATATTAAAAATTGTACATAATATAGGGACCAAAACTGTAATTATCGCAAGTTTATTATAAATAATATAATAAACTAAAGTTTTCTTAAATCGTAAATTGTAAAATTTTATTGTTTTGTTGATATTTAAGATTTATTTTAACTTTTGAATCGACTTGGGTATGAACGAATTGAATCTTAAATC